ATGGGGGTGCGCCCATTTCCATTTGGACACAGTGATATCTTAGTTAAATCCTTTCTTGCTGTATAGAGATTATTAGCTCATTAGGAGGTAACTATCCAAATCCTTCTTGGACAGTCCTGGTTTTGACCTTCTAAAGTACTTTTTGACCTGTATAAGTCACAGGTGCCAAACCAGCTCCCAAAGACAGAGGTGCAATGATGCCCATGAGGTGGCAAAGAGCAACTTTGCTCTGGGGGACATGATGTCTAAAAAAGACAATATTTTTTTGAAATGTCTATGTGGCTGCGAGTGAGTCAGGACTCCTGAGTCATCTTGTTGGCCTTCCCTTTACAACTTTTATATAATTTCATATAAGTGCATTTGTCTGTGCTATGTTTGATTTTCCTCATCAAAATCGGTGTCTGTGCATTGTAAAATAGAAAGGTTTATAGCGTCCTCTTATCACACAGCAGGTCTCAGGACACCTCAGTCAAAATATACGAAGTGTTTTCAGGTGCTGAAAAGGTCTCTGGCAGTTTGTAACAGGAAAAAAGGACAGGAATGCCAATGATACAGTTTCTCTGCCTTGTACTTGGCATCACTGGCATGTCTGCGTTAGAGTACAGGCAATGTAAAGCACCATGAAGGACTTGTCACCTTTCAGGGCTTAAGGGAAGGGAAAAAGAACTGGGTTTTCTCGACTGCAGAGCTTTTCTCAGGATGATGGTGATCCCCCGGTCTCTTTAGAGGGGTTCAGTGTGTCTCTGAGGCTCCCACCCCCATGACAGCAGTACACTGCAAGTTACTACTAGCTGTGACCTTGCTTGGCTAGCTGGTGGAAAAAGGCATATTTTCTGAAAACTCCTATCTTGCAAAACATACAAGGTCTTAGAAGCTTGAAAAGAGATTAGCTGAAGCAGAACCTTAAATCCTGAAGCCCTGGAAAAAAGGCTCACCGAAGCATTTGGATCAGTGGTGGCTGGGGACCTCTTTTACTGTTTGAGATAGAAAGGACAGTGAAGGTGAGAGTGCAACTGCAGCAGCCAGGAGGGAGAAGCAGAAAGTGTATATCCTTAATTTATAATACAAGTCAGAAAAAGAAAATCAACAAGAAGAAAATTTTTATTTATCCTACATCCCCACTCAGCATTTTTGGAAGCCCAATTTGAAGGGCTGAGATTGTACTGTTTTGAGCACTGTTTCTGGCTACCTATCCTCACAAAATTTGAAGAAACAAAGTAAAATCCTACTTCAATGACTGTCAGGAGTGGTTTTGTGACCTAAATCCCCAGAGCTGGGATTTTGCTCAATGAATGAGCCCAAAGAGCCTAGAATAGTGGATAAACCAACAGCAAGCTTTTCCTCTTAATTATCTCTTTCTTTGCCTGAAGTTTCGGGGCCAATTCTGAAGGTTGTTTGAACAACATGGGCACCACCTCAGGTGAACAGACACTTAGTTCTACCAGTTCATTTCTCAGAAAGCTTTCAGGGATGGTTAGATGGGGAAAAGTATTATACTGGTTTCTTGAGGCAAGACTAAGTGATGTGGTAACAGAATGAATGAAGGAGTCAGTGGTTAAGTAGTCAGAGTTAGGAGGTTGAGCCTTGCAATTAACTTATATCAAAGATTAACAGATGCCAGTTTTGCCAGGAAATGAGCTATCTGAGCTGAAAGGCAAGTGTCCCAGGATACAGTGAGGACCTTATCATTCCTTGGATGACATTGCCCACAGAAACAGGTGTGTTGCAATCACAGGCAGCTAAATTGGGATCAGAAAGACACTGGAGTATGCAGAAAGATAGCACAATATTTGTAGTGAACTGGTGAGTGCAAAATCCAAGATTTCACAGAGAAATCGGTGAAATTTCTTTGTTCCCCTCATCCTTCCCTCCCATGGGGAACTGCTGTTGCTCCTACCCCATGGGAGAAGTTCTCACGCAAAGAGAAACCTATGTCAGTGTCCTATAGAAATGGGCCTTCAATAAAACTCAGGTTCCCCAAATGCATGAGGTCTGCACACTGAACTTTTCTTGACTGTGAGCCTGCCCAAAAATTCCAAATTTAAAACATTGTCTGAGAGTGGATGGACAAGCTTTGAACTTCCAAGGAGATTTACTTCTGGCACTAAGATGGGCACAATTCAGTGTGCTGCTATTGGCACCCAGAGAGATGATGAAGAGAAAGACACAATACTTATGACCTTTGTCAGGCTGGGGGAGCATCTGCTTCAGTCCCAGCTCTACTATTCCCCAGGGAATAAAACAAAGTAGTGTTCTTCAGATTCAAGTATTTAACTGCTGTTCCAAACATTCCAAAACACATGAATCCAAGATTTCAGATCTGTATCGGCAGGGCTGCAAGGAGAACATCTACTTTGGCTAAAGTTTATTGGAGTTAAGAATTTCAGGTGATTGAGGCAGTTGTTCAGATTTTGAGGAATTCATCCTTTCTTCTGACTTGGTAAACTAGATGTCTTGAATTTCATATTAAATGCATCTAGAGCTAGAAGACCTCAGAAAATGTGCACTAGATTTAGCCCTAGCAGTACCACCAAGGTCCTGAGTGGAGACACAAAGAGATGGTGGCCATGACACCCAGTGTCAGTCTGCTGGAGGAATTCCCTTTGACACAGAGATGAAGCCTAACAATCACAGATTTTGCTAGTAATGCCACAAGCAGATAAACTAGATGTATGTGGGGCTAATGAGGCAACAACTTTTGTGAATAGAAAGCATTTTTCTTCTCTAGAAAAAAGAGAAAATGAAAATTCGATTGTATCTATTTTTAGGCAAATTAAAAGGTGCCTCAAAAATAGCTTGAGCAATATGAAAGTGGAGCAATTCTTCAAGTTCTCCAAGAATAAAGGAGGTCAGCAGCCTCATAAGCCAATTTTTGAAGTAGCTGTGAATGTTTCATTTTTACAGCCCTATCTGATGTGTGTCTGCTTTAATACATATTGTGATGCCAGCAGAAGCCTGCTCCTGCACCCTGAATCCATGGGGTCCTTCAAAGGCAACCAACCAGCCTAATGTAAGCCTAGTCATCCCGCAAATTCAGTTCCGTGTTTTACATCCTAAACATTCACCATAAGCCTAGCCAGCCGTTGCCACCCACTGTGACACAAGTCTTGTGTCTCCCACTAAAAGCAATCAGATTTATCAAGATTTGTCACAACTCCCTCTGAAAATGACTGTCCTGAAGGGTGCCTCTGTAGGAAGTGTATTTTGGAGGTTGTCTGCCTTTGGCTTTTACCCTGATTCCTCGGGTTTCATCATTAGTAGTTTAAGTTGCCAGCAAACATTGAACTTCTGAAAAAGCATGAGCAGAAGTAAGAGGAGGCTTTGGAAACAAGACAGATTTGAAAACTGTTGCCAACAGAGTTTCAGTTAGCATGTTGTGGGCTGTTCAGGTTGGAAGTGAAAGCTGAGGGGGATGTGTGCTCCTAAATCACCCAGGAGATAAGTATAGTCTGCTCAGGGAAATGTTTTAGTCACCATCCCTGGAGGTATTTAAAAGATGTGTAGATGTGATGCTTAGGGACATGAGTTAGTGGTGGACTTGGCAGTGTTAGGTTAATGGCTGGACTTATTGGTCTTTTACAGCCTAAATGATTCTTTGATTCTGTAATAGCTAAGTAATGCTCACCTTTTGCCCCAAATATTGAAATAATCCCAGACATACATTAAATGGGAACAGCTGCACCAAGAAGAGATGTCATCCCTTTCCCGGTGTGGATAGAGCAAGGCTGTGATGGAGCAGCATGCAAGGAGGAGGCCTGATAAGGCCACTTGTCTGCACATCACTTTGGCAGGGGGAGGGAGCCGTGCGCCCTGTCAAGCTCTTCTCTGCCAGCCCCTCAGCATGCCTTCTCCAGCGGATCCACGCCAGCCCTGGTGCTGGCCTGTGGCCAGCTGGCCTGCCTCCACCTGCCTGTCGCTGCCAGTCATGGGGCAGAGGTGACACTCTGGTCAGAGGAGGGGAAGAGCTGAGACACTGTGCCACAGAACCGCTCTCCCCTGGCAGCGTTGTGCAGGTGATACAGCAAAGCGGCAACTGGTGCCAAGCTCCTAGGGAAGGGGGAACTGATCGTCGTTCCTGGGATATGAAGAGGAAGGAATATGCAGAACAGCTTGCAACAGAAATGCAACAGATTTACGTGAAAAACCTGCTCCGGTCCAACAGAAAGGAAGGCTGGTGGTGATGGTGGCATCCGACTATCCTCTTGAGGAGAGCCCTGTCTCCTGCCCTGGATGCTGGCCTAGGCACACGCTTCCCACCCTTCATCCCCCTTAGTACGATTAAGTTTTAACCACTCTCCAGCAATGTATGGGACTTGGTGAGTGCTGTGGGCATGGGAGGTTGCAACACGAGCTTCCCTGTGCTTTGAGATTACAGATCCAAGGGCGAGCAATTCTCCTGCTGCCCCACAAGCAGAGAATGTGCTTCAGAAAACAGCTTGAATGTCAGCCAGCATCTACGGACAGACGGTGCCCCAGGCAGGAGGAGGAGGGAGTCCCAGGAGTGCTCACCTCCTTTGCTGCTGAGGAAACAGGACTTTTCCTTTAGTGGTGCAGATGAGGCTCTTCATGAAACTGTTTAACCTGAGATCTGTTATCAAAAGCCTAATCACTGTGATGCCCAAAGGGATGCAAAGAGAGATACCCTTATTACACATTGCAGTAAATACCTTCTATTTTTGTCAAGCCCTAGTAGGACAAGTGTGCCTTGGTTCCCTGTATAAGTGAGGTCTGTCCCTTCACAAACCCTCCCTGCATATTCCCAGGACTGACATCTTCCACTCCCTCTCTCTTGCTCATTCCCTCTCTCTCAGATGATGCAGAGTGCCAGCAAGTCCCTCAATGGTGTCATATCTGTCCTTTTTATTCATTGCAGGGTTTATTTTTAGCCTGAAACAACTGCTTCCTAAAAATGGAGTTCCTAATGACACGGGAGCTGGACACAGCTATGTAAGGTATCCAGGGCTTGGCCTCACAGCTTCTCCTGTCTGTCTCTCTCTTTGTTGTGAGTCCAGGACAGCAAAGTTTGCTGCTCCCCACCAGCCTTGCAGTGTTTGGGCTGATCACCAGGAAGGCAGCAGAAAGAGAAACTCAGTTCAAACTTCACCTGAAGCCTTGGTCTCCCCCTCTTCCCAAATCAAGAAAGAGAGGGACATTTACCCACCCTTTGTTGCACTCCCAGGGCACCCCTATGAAGGCAACTTGCTGGATCCTGGCAGGTTTTTACCTGCTTTTCTGCTGCAAGGCAGAAGAGGGACTGAACTTTCCCACTTACGATGGGAAAGACCGAGTGATCGACCTGAATGAGAAGAACTACAAGCAGGCTCTGAAGAAGTATGACATGCTCTGCCTGCTCTTCCATGAGCCTGTGAGTTCTGACAAGGTCTCCCAAAAGCAGTTCCAGATGACAGAGATGGTCCTGGAGGTAAGTGCTGCTGCATGACCCAGTCGGGATCAGTATCACAGCGCTGGGCAGAGCTGTGGAGAGGAGCCACAGGACAGGACAGTCAAATGGTCTCATGCGGGGGAGGCTGAGCACCCAAAAGTTTGTGTTTGTTTACTTGCATTTGAGTTAGCCCCTTCTTGAATTCTGCAAAGCCCAGAAAAAAAGCCTCTTTTGTGCTCTTCTCAGTTGTTTGCTGGGAAATAGTCTTTCTGGATTGTGTATCAGAAACCCAGGCAATAGCGAGTAAACTTGAGAACCTCAGCAACATGAATTCAGCTCAGCTGAGCTTTCTCAAGTCTCAGCACAAACCTGAGTACATAGCTTGAAATTTTTCGATCCTTCCTCATTCTGTGCAAGCCAGTATCCCACTCTTATTCTGGATTCAGTCCCACTTTTTATCCCACTAGGAGAAATCTGCCAAGAAGCCTTATCAAGCTGTGAAGCAAACAGGCATCCTAGCTCCCCATCTCAAAATCTCCCCATTGGTGCAGCATTAAATCCCTTTTTATTTTTCTGACACTTAGTTGCCTGCTTGGAATCGGTCTATAGCTGCTTGTTAATGCAACCATTCACTTCTGTGCTAGAAAAAGAGTGTTGTTAATTCTTTGGTGAATGAATCTTCAGTAAAATAAATCATGGTAAAAATTGCAATGTAGACTAGTAGCATTTTTTCTTGTAGTGTAGCTGTAATCTAGGGAATCATACAGCTGCAAGCCTGGATTGTTAGGTGCCTGTTTCCTGCCATGGGCCTGCAAACAGTCCCTCTTAGCTAAAATACACATTTGGAAAGAAAGTGCGAATTGCAGAAGAAACACTTAAACTTCATCTATCAGATCCAGAGAGAAAATGCATTGCATCCCTAGAAGTATAGCAAATGTGAATTAGAAAATATGCTTGCTGAGGACTCGGACCCAAAAAAGTCCAGTGTCAAGTTCAAGGTCTGCTGACCTCCTCAGCAAGCCTCATGACTGCCTGAAAGAAAGATTCAATAACTAACAAGATTTTAGTCACTTGTCAGGCAACAGTTACTTTCTGCAGGTGAGTGATCAAATAATATTTGGCAAAGAAAAGAAAAAAATGATGCTGGAACTCCAGCTGAAATGAGTATTGTTGGTAGTATAATTGCATTGTTATTTAATAGGATAGCTATTTTGTGCTTGATAGATGGCAAACTGTTACTAGGAACATATTTATAGAAACCTGACAGAAGCATGCCCCATCCCTGGAAGGCCAGGTTGAATAGGGTGCTTGGGAACCTGGTCCAGCGGAAGGTGTTCCTGTCCATGGCAAGGAGGTTGGAAATAGATTATCTTTAAGATACCTTCAAACCCAAACCATTCTATGTTTCTCTGATTCTGTGGTCTGTTGTGTACTATCAGTTTGAGTCCCCATGACACCTAAACCGATGGTAGCAATCAGACTTATCAAGGGTGTGATGGATGCAATACAATCTGGCTTAAAACTTTTGTTTTTCAGGTTTGGATTCAGCAGTTGATAACATGAGCTTAGGACTCTCATGATTTATTTGGTTTCTGACTGCCTCTCTGCCATGGACTTCTTATGTGACCTTGGGCAAGAAACTGAGGTTTAGATCCACAGGAGACTTTACACAATTGTAGTGCTTCAGTCCCCTAGTGCTCATCTACCAGCTAACTGTGCCAGGCATCAGCTGGCACTTGTGGCTTTGACCTCAAAATTTCCCAAGCACTTGCAATGCTGATTCAGTGCATGTCTCACAGTTTCACAGTCCCTCCCCTGGACTGGGAACTGCCACAGCAGCAGTCTGACAGCCCAAGCACAGAGCAATCTGCAGACAACATTTCTTTGCCTTTGTCAGTCAAGGGAATCAGATGGGGAGAGGGTCTCATAAGGCAACAGAGAAGATAGGATATGTCGTATCCTGCACAGGATACAGCCCAGCATGGTGTTAGTGCTCCCAGTTTCTGTACTAATTCAACCATGGAAGCACTCAGGAAAGGAGTAGGCAAGCCAGGTTGTAATCTGCTCTTTCGTGTGATATCATTCACCTCCCTCGCCTCAAACCACAATGTGCCACGGGGGTCATTTTCAACTTTCTCTGCCAGAGCTCATCCAGCTGTCGGACTTCACGTTCACCAGCACAGGGAGAAGGAAAGAAATGGCTGCAGTGGCTCCTTGGCTGAGATATGTTCACCTGTGAGATGAGCTGCCTGGGATCAGTATCCCTGGAAGCAGTCAGCAACTGAACCCAGCTCTCCTGTAATTTGAGCACATACTCAGAGAAGTGAGCTGCTCTGTGGGCACAGGAGCAGTGACAGGGCTCTCGTTCCAGCCAAACCTGGGAAAAGTTCACTCAGGAAGGCTTTACATATCTAATTTCAGTAGGGGGTTCAGGGCTCTGAGTGCTGAAGGTCCTTTACACCTAAAATGAAGTATCTAAGACATAAATACTCCAGTCCTGACTATTCCCTGCCAGCTGGCTTGGAAGGCTCCCAGTGCAGGGTGCTGCCTATGGTAAGATGCTCCTTTCTGGGGCACCTTATGTTTTTCCACCTTATTGTACTGACGATTTTCCTGTTGTTTTACAATGAGACATGCTGCTTCCACAGCTTGGAAAACATCACGTCCTTAGCCCCACTTTCATACCATGGCACTGGTCTCCATCATTAAGAGTAACTGGGAGCTTCCATCTGACACACAGGCAGGTGTGGAGCCAAGCAAAGGTCTGAGCTGGGCGGTTAAGAGTTGTTACATCATGTTGCCTGATGTGCATGTATGTGTGGGCACACAGAAGGAAATGGGCTTAATAAATTTTAAGCCCAGAAAACCCCCAAAGAGTCCACCTTTTCTGTTTCTCCCACCTGCACCTTGTAAGAAATGAGCAATCCCAAAGAACAAAGAACTGAAGAATCATCTGAGACACAAAGAAAAGAGCAGGAGAGATCAAGCATGATTTCCTTGAAATATGTAGCTCATCAGTAACAAGATCTGACTGGGGCCTCTCCCAGGAGTGAGGAGCACGAGGCTCTCTCTTAACTGGGTCCTTTGGTGTTCTATGAGGCTTGAGCTCTCATGGCAATGTTTTCTTCTTTCAGGGCACTTCAGCCTCTTCCCTTCCAAGTCCCTGCTTGTCACAAAACTTTCAATAGCTTTATTATGTGTGACATCACTGACTCTGGAAAATTGGTTCAAAAGGCCCAATAGCCAATAAAGTTATTAGGGGAGGCAGCTGACAGACAGACCTGAGGGGAGAGAGGAAAGAGTCACAAGGCTATCATATACTTAGGAAATAAAACTGAAAACCCAACAGCAAGTAAGTAAAGTTAAGCACTTATTTAAGGACTTCACCAAACTATAACTGTGAACAGCAGATTGAGAAGCGATATGATAGGAAACATTTCCTTCCCAAAACAAAAGACCAGCTTAGAGGGCTGACTGACATTCTCCAAAGCTCAGGGTCCACACCCACTATTGCCAGAAAAGGGATGATGTCATCAGGCTGATATTACAGTTGGCACAGCACATGGGGTTTTTAGTTCCCTGCACCCAGGTGCACTGGGAACCATCACCAGATTCCCACGCAGCCCAGGGTCCCTTTCTAAACTAGAAACCACCATGAAGTAGTCCTGAGAGCTCTTGCCACCTACACTGCTGGGTGCCACCTGGTAAGGACAGGATCCAGGGACAACTGAGCCCTTCTGGGAGCAAAAGGAGCTCCTCTGTCATGCTTTATGCATGACAACAGCTCTAGGGATAGCAGTGACAGCCCCTCAAGTCCCAGTGGAAAAGCTAGGGGCTGTTGGATTAATCTGTCAGGATAATAGCCAAAGCAATGGTTGGAGATGCCTACTGTTTTCTGCCTGGAGTGGAAAAGGGTTGGAGAAGGATTGGTCTAAGACAACCCAGGGCAGAGATATCATGAGCACAGTCTGTTTCATAGCTCAGGTTAAAGGACTCTTCTCCTTTGCTTGCCTTTCTCCTATGACTCCACTCTGCTCCACAGGCTACTGGAAAGCACCTACATCTTGAGTGGGGAAAATCCTCCATACAGGGCAGTGCAGAGGTTGAACCAGGCAGTCCCAGAGTGAACAGTAGCTATTTCTAGTCTGTGGTAATGTTTACAAGAGCTCTGCACACTTCATGAGGTGAGCACAGTGAAGAAGCAGACAAAACAGCCAAGCAATCACAATAATTATTTAACAGGAAAGTAAGAGAAAAGGCTACTTGTCCTGAAGGGTCTCAGTTTTAATGAAGGGTCAAGAGAGGAAAAGATCAAAGCAGTGAAGCTGAGAAATACCAGTTCTGCTTTTCTTCTGCTCTGTATCTCCCCTAACATACTTCACCCTGTCTCATACCACCACTTCTCAGACCTTCTCCCTTCTTCTCATCTCTGAATCTCCTAAATAGGGAGTTTTGCCTTCCAGTGGGCCAGCCCCTCTCTCTAGGGAATCATGTAGCAAGAATAACAAGCAATGGGGTTAGGGGCTTTCCTTTTGCACTTGCGAAGCTCTTTCCTCTGCTGAAACTTGCTCAGTCTTGGCTCCCCTGTTATTCTTCCCTTGCCATCTGTGTGCATGTGTAATATCCTTAAAAAAGAGAGGCTCATCAAGCCCAGATATTTTAGTCTCTTCAGTGCAACAGTGACCCTGAACTGAAAGTTCATGGAAAACTGCCCTAGCAAAAACCAGTCTGATTAGTGGTAAGAGAAGAGGTATGTGGCTACTAAAGGTATGTGGCTTCCACTATAAGTAAGCTAATGCAAAAAATAAGGAAGGAAGGAAAAGGAAAAAATGTGCACCGATTACTTTGCCCTTTGAGGCCATGTAAGTAGGTCTTAACTCATCAACAGACAGCACACCACTGATTTTTAGCAACAGCACCCAGGAGGATTTCACTTACTGATATGCCAGTCACAAAAACAAGTTACAGAGAGCTCCCTGTTTCACAGATGGGCACATTGACATCCAGGGACAACTATGTTACTTGATCTTTCTGTATAG